TATGTATGTATGTATGTATGTATGTATGTATGTATGTATGTATGTATGTATGTATGTATGTGTTTGGATATTTCAGCCTTCAGGAACAGAAGGGAAAAAAATCTGATATTTTGAAACGAATTTTCTCACCACTGATTTTCATGGTTGCTAAAATAAACTTTTTTTGCTTTTAACTTAACTTTACTCCTAAATCTGAATTATTATTCTTTGCTAGTTGGAAAAACTACAAAACCGGTACGAGGTGGAAGACTTGTTATCGATTTCCTTATTTTACTGCTCTTTGACCTCAGGCGTTGGTATTTATTGAGCATATTTATGTGAGCATATTTATAGCATATGTATAAGCTGCAAGTTGAAATTTTTTGTTTTTCAACTTCCAGTGCAAATCGTTTCATTGCTCTACTACAACTCGTTACAAAACGACTTTGATAACCTTCATGACAATCATTGGATGGTGTTTTGAATGCAGTGAGGTACATCCTGAACTAGGTGTTTACGTTAGATAATCTCAAAAAGGCAAAAATGAGCCAGTCCATCATGCGGCGAGCAGCGTGATCTACATTCGAAATTCTCTTAAGCAATTTTTGAACTGAAATCGAAGGCGTAATGTTCATGCCTTTATAACAAAATATCTTTGATGGGCAGGGCTTTTATATTTTGAGCTACCAATGTATTTCATCCTTGATTTAGGTTACCTACTGAAAGGGATGGCTTATGCGAAAAAAGCTATCAGCATAAGCACTGGCATAGTACGGGTGCGCTCGCTGATCGACTTCGAAAATATCAAGTCCAATGTGTAGGTTTCAGTAATAAAAAAAAGTTTTTTTTGATTACTGTATTATATTAAGTTTGTGGGAACTAATTTCACGGATTTGGTGCGTTCCCTGGCGTAAGGCGCAAATCAGTGATTTCATTCCATCAGGTGATAAACTAATTCTTTTAACAAGTCGTCCCGATGTTACCATCGGCATTGATTCATGCGAGTGAATCAGATCGCCATCGGTTTGCTTTTTGAAAAACTATCGGTTGAGAGAGCCACAAACAATCTTACAGGTGGATGACTGTTATTGCCTGATCTGCAACTGACTCCGAGTCCCCTACCTCCCATTTAACGTGCTTTTTATGCTGCGGAAAAATAACGAAAAAAAAAAAAATCAGCAAAGAAAAGACTTCAACTTTTAACGGGAAGATAGGCAAGGGTGAAAGGTGTATGCTGCCTTGAAAGGAAGTGCAACATAGAAGTGGTTGAAGGTGGCTGACAGGCACAAGGACCGGTAGTGTAGTGGTTTAGCACGCTGCATACAATGTGAAGACGAGTGGTTCGATTTCCTTCGGATTTTAGTTGTCTGCCCAAAAGGTCGTTTGCGAGACTTGAAACCATGGCATTTCATTTCATCTCTAGTTCTGTCTTTTTTGCGCTGAAGAATCAAGCTGAGAGTAGGCACTGCCGACACACCAACCTGAATGGGTAGATCTGAATTTCATTCCATCAGTGTTCTCGTTACTGCTTCAAATAAGCTGTAGTTTTGCAGTATGGATCAGTGGCACTGGGCTATGTTAAACGATGCCAACCGTAATGCGGCTTATGCAAAAGCAATAGAATTGGCCAGTCAGGAAAGACCGTACGGTGTGGTACTTGAAGTTGGTTGTGGTACAGGCCTTCTCACTGCAATTGCTTCAAGGTTATTAATTTAATCGGTATTTTCATAGTAAAAAGTATACACCAGTACGACTGATTTATGGAATTTTCGAGATTTTGTATTTTAAAAAGACTTACATGTAAAAATTACGATTAACAAAAAAAATGACCCTTTCATGCTACCTCTAGAAAGGTGGTTCGTAGTTAGTGAAGGCAGACTAAATAGAACCTGATCCGCCGTACAAACAGTATGGTACAGTTGTACTCGAAATGTAGCTACCTCTCAGCAGTGATAGCAGAATTGGCTCACAAATGTACACATATAATTATGACACGATAAAACTACTGAAACGTATTTATTAATCAAAAAGTGATTGCGAGGTCTGGAAAATTTGCTGGACATC